CCCGCAGCCCCCCCTCCCAGCAGAGGGGCTCCAGCCCTCCCAGCATCTCCGTGGCCTCCTCTGACCCCACTCCAACAGCTCCGTGTCCTTCTTGCACTGAGGACTCCAGCGCTGGACACAGAGCTCCAGGTGGGGTCTCTCAGCCCCCCCTCCCAGCAGAGGGGCTCCAGCCCTCCCAGCATCTCCGTGGCCTCCTCTGGCCCCGCTCCAACAGCTCCATGTCCTTCTTGCACTGAGGACTCCAGTGCTGGACACAGAACTGTTCCCATCCCATCTCTTCTGATACAGGTGGGGTCTCACCAGAGTGGAGCAGGGGGGCAGAGTCCCCTCCCTTGACCTGCTGCCCACGCTTCATGCCATTTCCTCTGCAATGCATGAAGTGGTCCGTAATGTGATAACACTAAACAAATAAACAGCAGTTTTCACTCTGAAGGTTCCAATCCCATCTCTTCTGATACGGCCTTCAGGCTGGTACCCAACCTAGAAGGTTTTCCCATCGCACCTGAACACCCCCTGCTCCCATCACATCCATCTTTTCTGCATTCTTCTGAGTCCTCTCTTTTCTAGTCACAGACACTGATCTTTCCCTTCCTTCAGTTCATCTTTCCACCTTCTGCTTCCTTCACTGCCTCCAAGATCCCCCACCCTCCAAGAGACCCGTGTGGGCATCACAAAAATATCACCCGAGGACATTACGTCCCAAATCCTCCATCCATAACTTCTAAAAACTTCTCAAAAGAAAGGAGAAAACACCTTCTACAAATTAAATTCATTATTTAGAGTTAAAAAACAAATTGCACGTGATTGTGACGCTGCAAAACACTGCAGTTCTACCCCAAACAGCCCTGTCTCAGGGCGGTGAGAGCGGTTCTGCTGCCAGAGCATCCCCAGAGGTGCCCCGTGAAGTGGCTGAATGGTTCCCAACACCTTCCCATCACCTTTCCAGCCCCTGGGGCTTCCTAAATGTTTTGAAAAGCTTGAATTTAAAAAAAAATTATCAGCTCAGAGGAGTCTTGTTTTTAAACAAAGACCAGGAGACTGAGGAAATAATGGGGTTTTTTTACCTATACATTGATTTAAAAAAAAATTATCAGCTCAGAGGAGTATTGTTTTTAAACAAAGACCGGGAGACTGAGAAAATACTGTTTTTTTTTACCTCTACATCAAAATAATTTTTGGATGCTTTAAAACTAGCTACTACACAAAAAAAGAAAATGCAAAAATATTTTTCTTTTCTGGCTGAAAAGAGGCACCAGGAGAGAAAACAGGTCTGCGTTTGTATTTACCTGGGTCGGAATTCTCATGTTTTACACCCACGGTTACTTTGCAAATGAGTCATTGGGCTCTGTCCACCCCTAGAAACACACTTTGCCTCTTGCCCATCAACCCTTGAGGTCAAAACATCAACCTCCAGTGCAAGACAGCGAGATCTGGGGGGTGATTTCTCTCATGTTTTACACACACGGTTATTTTGCGAACGAGTCGTTGGGCTCTTTCCACCCCCAGAAACACACTTTGCCTCTTGCCCATCAACCCTCGAGGTCAAAACACCAACCTCTGGCGCAAGGCAGTGAGATTTGGGGGGTGATTTTCCAAGAAACTCGAAGTCCAGATTGTTGATTTACCCACAGGGTGAGGGGATGTCACCTAACAACATCACAGGAGCCAAGGAGAGCCCCAAACCCCAACTCCTGCCTTTGGGAACGTCCTTCCCTGCAGGAGGAAGCAGGTTGTGTGTGTAACCTGACGCTGGATGAAGCTCCACAGGGAATTGGGGAGATGCCTGGGGGTTTTTCTGGGAGGTCTGCAGGGAAAAGCACCCGATAAAGAGAATGCCCAGCTCTCACCTAAGCAGATCCCGCTGCCTCTGTGGACTTTGGAGAAGTCGCAGTAGAGCCCCTTGTGATGATCGCAGGGTTTCTGCGGGGAGCAGAGCTCGCCCAGCTGCCTGGCACACACCTTGCAGCAACCACAGGCATCCAAGACATGGCTGGTGCCAGCGGGGCACTGCAGGGGCTGGGAGGGACACTGGCACGGGTACCTGCAGGCTTGTGCATCCACCTGGAGGGCAGAGAAACCATGGAGAGAATGAGTGAGTCTCCCCGCAAAACCAGCCAGGCAGAGAGATGAAAAACACCCTCCTGCTTCAAGCACAGACACCCCATTTCAAGGAGGGAAGACCCCCTTGGCCCCCCCCACTGCAGAGGAGGGAGGCACGGGTACCTGCAGGCTTGTGCATCCACCTGGAGGGCAGAGAAACCATGGAGAGAATGAGTGAGTCTCCCCGCAAAACCAGCCAGGCAGAGAGATGAAAAACACCCTCCTGCTTCAAGCACAGACACCCCCTTGTGAGGAGGGAAGACCCCCTTGGCCCCCCACTGCAGAGGAGGGGTGTGTGGCTCCCTGGGAATCACAACCCCCTGATTTTTCTCATCCCTAACTCATCTGCAGCTCAAGGGGGGAGGAAAAAAAAGAAGATGCCTCTGGGAAGCAGGGCCAAAACAAACGGGGCAAGCAGTAGCTTGGAGTCCTGGGTGCAGCTCAGCTCCCTGCTTCCCTGGAAGCAATAAAATAGTAATTATTAACAGTGAGCAATTCCTGGCTCTTCCATAGCACCCCTCAGGAGAAAACACCACCAAAGCTGCAGCAGCAGCAGCATTGGACCCAGCGCTGAGATGGAAAAAGCCAGGAGCAAAGTGAAAGGACCTGCCCCACATCAGCCAGCACTGAGAACTGACCCAAAGATCCCCAAATCCCCGTTTTGTCTCCAGAATAACATTTTATTTATTATTCCCAGAGATGGGCCCCCTCCTCTCCCCTTTCCAGGGAACGCAGCGTAACCAGCCTTCCTCAGGACCTTGTGAATCTCCAGCTCAGCAGCATTTAGAAGTGCCCTGAAACCCACCCTTGGCTTTTATGCCACTTCGGATGCTAAAGAGAGATGAGGCTCTGTCTGAAAGGAGGATAACACCTTCTCCAACATCAGCCAGCACTGAGAACTGACCCAAAGATCCCCAAATCCCCGTTTTGTCCCCAGAATAACACTTTATTTATTATTCCCAGAGATGGGCCCCCTCCTCTCCCCTTTCCAGGGAACGCAGCGTAACCAGCCTTCCTCAGGACCTTGTGAATCTCCAGCCCAGCAGCATTTAGAAGTGCTGGCACCTCCTGAAACCCACCCTTGGCTTTTATGCCACTTCAGATGCTAAAGAGAGACGAGGCTCTGTCTGAAAGGAGGGTTACACCTTCCCCAGAAAACCCAGGATGCTTCAAACACTCCAATAACCCAGTCTGTGGCATCCTGGTCCTGAATCAGCTCGGGGAGTCCACGCTGCCCTCAGCTCGGGATGTGGCCAGATTTGGGCAAGATGTCAAACCACAACGGTGAAAGGTGCAGAGCATTTGGTCTGGAAAGATCCTCAGATATCTGCTCAGACACAGCAGCGCGTGGTCTGGAAAGATCCTCAGATATCTGCTCAGGAACAGCAGTGTGAGAGCTCCAGCCTGGTTTTCTGTTCAGCTTCTGCCCATTAAAGTTCTCCAGATGGTCCAGAGGGATTCAAAATTAGATTGACAGTTGGACAAGATGATCTTTAAGGTCCTTTCCAACCTAGAAGGGGAGCTGCTGCCACAGGGTTGACACAAGCCTTGCACATAGATGCATCAGAAGAAGTATGGCCAGCTGGGTCAAGAGGGGAGATTCTGCCCCTCTGGGGAGACCCCCCCCCAGTGCTGCCTCCAGCTCGGAGCCACCAACAGCAGAAGAACATGGAGCTGTGGGAGTGAGTCCAGAGGAGGCCTGGGAGGGCTGGAGCCCCTCTACTGGGAGGGGGGGCTGAGAGAGTTGGGGGGTTCAGCCTGGAGAAGAGAAGGCTCCAGGGAGACCTTCGAGCCCCTTCCAGTCCCTCAAGGGGCTCCAGGAAAGCTGGGGAGGGACTCTGGATGAGGGAGGGGAGCCCTAGGAGGAGGGGGAAGGGTTTGACCCTGAAAGAGGGGAGATGGAGCTGAGCTGTGGGGAAGAACTTGTTTGGTGTGAGGGTGGGGAGAGCCTGGCCCAGGTTGCCCCGAGAAGCTGTGGCTGCCCCATCCCTGGAGGGGTTCAAGGGCAGGTTGGAGGGGGCTTGGAGCAACCTGGGCTGGTGGGAGGTGTCCCTGCCCAGGGCAGGGGGGTGGAATGAGATGGTCTTTAAGGTCCCTTCCAACCCAAACCCTTCTATGATGCCACCCAAACGCTTTGGGGATCCTGCACCCCCGTGAGCCGGGATGAAGAGGAAATCACCCTCCCAGCTCCGCTGCCAGACCCGGGCGCTGCCACCCAGGGAGAGGAGCTGGAGCCAGGAAAAAGCCCGGGGGCAGGCGGGAGGAGGGAACACTTGGAACAGACACCAAAAAAATACCTTGCTGCAGCTCTGTTTGCACTTGTTCTACCCCATCCAGCCCTCGCTTGTGAAACAGCTTCCTTGGATATTGTGTTTGTCACCAATAACAGGAGTAAAACTTTTCCAGCTGTTTCGACTCTTGCTCAAAAGTTGCTTCTCTGACTGGAGCTCACAGGGGGTCAGAAGATGCCAACTGCTCTGTGTTTCCCTAACGCTCAGCATGGGACGGGGATCAGCCTTAATCTTAACTCTCACAAGTCTCACCCTGCTCGGCAGGAACCAGCTCAATTCTCCTTGAAAACTCCAGAGCAAAGTATTTTGGAAAGAAGCCTCTCCTGCTGCAGCCCCGCTGTTCGGGGATGGCAGCTTCAGAGCCGCTGGCTGGGAGCTGGGGTGTCACAGGGATCCCTTCCCGCCCCCCCGAAGGGCATTAAAAGATGCTAAAATTACAGAAATGCTTTTTCCTACTGTTTTTCATGGATGCAACTGCTGCAGCTGCCAAAAGGGACGTGTTATTCAGCCACGGACGAGTGGGCGGGGGGTACGTGAGCTCATAAAAGAGGCGAAGCGTTCCCAACACAGGACCTATATTAAGATGCAATCCATGCACTTAAAAAAAAAAAAAATAATGACAACGAGCATTTTCCAATGCAGTGTCAGCCACAGGCCATATAAAGAAACTCTCTCAAAATAGCTCTCCTACTGAAAAACAAACCAAAACAAGCTCTTCCAGGATAACAGAGAATGCAACGGGGTTAAACCCAACCGAGTTCTCTTTCTCGCCTGCATTAATCATTGTTGGGGCTGTTTATTTCCTTTAATAAGTCACCCAAAGAAACTAGCCCACCTGGTTCTACCTCGTGTTGACAATCAGCTTCACCTCCTCATCCTATTACAGCTGCTTTTCAGCACAAGAACATCTGGATTGAGATCTCCAAGGTAGAGCAGACTCGGGTGACTCGACTCTGCCTCATTGCCCCCACCTGTGAGCACAACCAAGGCTTAAAAAAGCCCAATTCATCCATATTTGTGGGGCTTTTTTCAATACTTGAGATTTTCCAATCGGGCAGCTCCATCACCCAGTCCACCTGGCCCCGGGGTGTGCTGGGGCTCCTCTTGGCTTATTTTAGTTTTTATCCGGGTTTTGTTTTATTACTGAGCAAAGTCAGCTCGTGCTATTTATACCCCCAGCTCCTCTCACGAGCCCAGGGGAGGAGAGAAAGAGCTGAAATCTTTTTTGGCTCCTGCACATCCAGCGGTGAGCGCTGAATGACGGGGGAACTGCTTGAGTTGGGAACAGCTGGTCGAAAGTCAACGTGGAACCAACTTCCTCGAGTTCTCCCTGACTTCATTTGCTTTCGCGGCAATTTCAAATAGGCTAAATAATAGATTATATTGGATTTGCATGGAGCACCCTCCACCCTGTGTTATTTTCAAGGACTGCTTCTAGGAGGAGTTTCAAAACAGCATGGAATAAGCCCAAACTGTCCCAAAGAACTGCAAGGACTCGTATTAGGGCTTTGCTACAGGCCCATATGTCCCACAAAGACCAGTGTTTCCACATGACGTGCCACCGACCTGGGTGCAGAGGGACTCAACTTAAAGAACATATAGTTTTTTTCCCCTCTACAGAAGGGTCTGCCCCCCAAAATTATACTTTTACTTTCACTGAGCAGGATTCTAACTCCAAGTTCACTTTGGCCTCGACCTTGGTTTGGGCAGCAGTGTCTTTCAGTGACCTTTGAGAGCCAGTGCTGGAGATCAAGGCTATAGATTTAAGAAAGTGCTAACGCCTGGAATATCAGCTCTCCCTGCTCCTGGCCTTGCTGGCAGCTCTCCCACCCATCACAAACACCATGGGTGACACTGTCACTCCCAGGACCCCCGAGGGATGGACAAAGGGGAGCTCTGAGCCGAGGATTCCCCCTGCTTCCACTCGTGTTCTCCACCACCACCTCCCTGGTCCCATCTGCTCGGCTGACAAGCCAGAACAAGCTTCCTCCCAACCGCCAGCACCAAACTCAGTTCCCTGGGGGGGGAAGGAAAAAGTGAGAATGTTCTTCCTGCTCCGTATCCACATAAGAACTCTTCCCCCTATGCCCTTGGGAAGGCTGGAGTTGGGGAGACACGAGCTCCCACCTCTCTGTGGCATCGTCAGGACTTCTCTTTCTTGATCAGTCAACGTCCACGCGAGCCCAGGGAACCAGCCAAGAAAGCCAAACCAAAGAGGGTTTTTAAAATTAGTTTGGGCTCCCGACTGCATTCAAAACAAGAAAGCCAAACCAAAGAGGGTTTTTAAATGAATTTGGGCTCCTGACTGCATTCAAAGGGCTGGGAAAGGAGGGGTTTGGAGCTGAGCTGGCTGTTTGCAAACACACGGTGATCAAATAAACACGTAACTGGTTCTCTTCCACGCGCCGAGACTGGCAGTAGGTAAAAGCAGCCAAAACACAGTTAATCACACACTCCAAACACCGAATTATCAAGGATAATCCCTGCTCTCCCTCCATCACAGACTCTCCTTCCCCAGGTTGCTGCAGCACGTTGTACAACGGCTGATTAGCAGAGCCAAGAACCAAAGAAGCAGCACCCCCACTTCCCAGACCGAGCGGAGACTGGCCCAGGCTGAGCCCGGCAGAGCCCAACATCACCCCCAGCAATCCCGGTCCTACTCCCACCCCTGAACAACACGGGAGGTGGATTCAGGAGCCACAGCTCTCCTTTCCCTGCTCGATCCACTAAACATCACTCTCAGAGCCCAAAGAAAGTCAGAAGTCTCATTTCCAAGGCAGGTTCAGGGAAAATGACATCATTTCAGGAGCAATAATACAGTGTCACAGCAGCAGGACTCACTGCTATGGGTTCTATGACCAACGTGATGCTGCCAAAGCTGGGGCATAGAATCAAAGAATGGTTAGAGTTGGAAGGGACCTTAAACATCATCGAGTCTCAATCCCCCTGCCCTGGGCAGGGACACCTCCCAACAGCCCAGGTTGCTCCAAGCCCCCTCCAACCTGCCCTTGAACCCCTCCAGGGATGGGCAGCCACAGCCTCTCTGGGCAACCTGGGCCACTCCCTCACCAGCCTCACTGGAAAGAATTTCTTCCTAATATCTAATCTAAATCTCCCCTCTTTCAATTTAAAACCATTACCCCTTGAACTGGCACTGCACTTCCTGACAGAGAGTCCCTCTCCCTCTCTGGGGCACTGCAAGAATCAAGAAGACCATCCCAAATTGCAGGAATTACCCTTAGATGACAGGATCCCAGGCAGGAAAGGGGCTGCGTGCCACCAGGAGCAATCCCACAGACCTTATCAACCCCAAGTTTATTGCCCGTGCAAGGTACAGAAGCTCTGAACCCATCCAAAAGGCACTTACTGCAATTTAGATACCTTAATAACTGCAGCACCGTTCCTGCTATTACTGGCACCAAAATAGCACACAGAAGTCCCAAGCAGAATCAGCTACTCCGTCAATAACTTGTATTAACCCCAAACCAGGCACAAATCCCACTCTGAGAGGCTCCCCCTCAGGATCAGCGGTTTTGGGAACACCTGGGTGGATTCTGTGGCAGCTGGGGAAGGATGGTGACAATAAGGGACGGGGATATACGAGACCTTTTTATTTGTTGCAGTGACATGAACTCAGTGACTTCACCTCTCTCTGGTTCTCTTCTTCCCCCCTCGTAAACCAGGGCTGGCTCCTGGCTCAGCGGAGGGGAGCGAAACAAAATCCATCCACGTTTGCCAAGAGCTTTTGAGATCCGTGGGTGACAAGTCGTGCAGCTCCCGGCCAGGGTTTAGTTACACAGAGTGTTCCTGTTGCTCTAAGAGCCAGCCTTCCCTCGGAAACCTTCGGAGGCAGGTGGCAGCTGGGAAGAATTATTCAGCCCAAAGCACTCGCATGCATCAAAGCAAGAAGCTGCAATGCCCAGAGAGCGATGAGAGCTGCTGCAGCGTGATACGTACCCGGCCAGGAGCAAGGAGGAGGAGGAGGAGGAAGAGGGTCCAGGTGACTGTCCCCAAGGTGCCAGACATCCCGAGTAAAAGGGAAGGAGAAGGGATTCAGGCTGTCGGCTGACTCACTCCTTCTCCTGCGGAGTTTCTCCTCTCTCTTCAGAGAAAGTTGCTCCCCAGCTCCTCTTTAAATAGCCTCCTGGAGGGGGCGTGCCCCGCGCTTGAGTGACAATCTGGAAAGCGAGCTGAAATGGGTGCAACAAAAAAAATTAAAAAAAAAATAAATAAAAAATGTCCAAATTCCAGGGAACACGAGCAGATTCCTGCGGCCCCGGGCGGTTACGGGGCTGCCGGCGCAGCCTGCAGCTCGGTTTCTTTCCATGTGGGTAAATCAAATCCCAGTTTATTATTTTTTCATTTTTCCTCTTTTTAACTCCAAAAGTATGAAGCCTGGGACAGCTTTCTTGACACAACCGCCCCCCCAACCTTTTCCCTACCTAAAGCCATTCCTTTTTGGCTGCAAGAGCTGAGGATTTAAATAAGCAGAGTTTTGTGGTGCTCGGTGTTTTTCCTTTGAACAGGAGGGATGGAAAGTTCAGCGCCGTTGGGTGCAATGAGGTACCAGGACAGACTGTGCATCACCAGTGCTTGGTGCTGCCAGCTCCCAGAAATTAAAGTTTCAGGACTTTTAAAAAACTGCTGTCTGGACTCCAGCAACGAGGAGCTGCTGGTTTTACAAGGCAGTGAAAAGCTGCGGGGTGAAGGTTATCGATAAAGGACAACATTTCCCTGAAGTACTTTATCGGCACCTGGGGATTGATGCAGGATTATCCAACGTTTTTATCTCGGGGCATGATATTTTCTGTTTGCCACTGAACTACAGAACCAGGCTCCTGCACAGCTCGAACGAAAAGACCTTTAGAATATGAAAGAGCTGATTTGTTTATTAAAAGACTTGTTTTGTTTATTCCCCAGCAGCAAGCGGAATGCTGCCATGGACAGATGAGGAGAAGGAGTGCAGCAGAGGGCACTCTTAGTCCTCGCTGGCCTGGGGTGTGAGAGAGCAGGTTGGGCACCGGACAGGAACCCTCTGTGTGACAGGTGAAGTGGCCTCGAGAAGATGGAGCTGTGTCTTTGAGCCTGGGACCTTCCCAGGGAAGAAGTGGTGCAAGATCTGTCTGCTTACTTTGGGCCAACATAAAGCTGGGGGCAGAAGCACATGCAGAAGGACATGGAGCTGGTGGAGCGGGGCCAGAGGAGGCCATGGAGATGCTGGGAGGACTGGAGCCCCTCTGCTGGGAGGGGGGACAGAGAGTTGGGGGGGTTCAGCCTGGAGAAGAGAAGGCTCCAGGGAGACCTTGGAGCCCCTTCCAGTCCCTCAAGGGGCTCCACGAAAGCTGGGGAGGGACTCTGGATCAGGGAGGGGAGCCCTAGGAGGAGGGGGAAGGGTTTGACCCTGAAAGAGGGGAGATGGAGCTGAGATGTGGGGAAGAACTTGTTTGGTGTGAGGGTGGTGAGAGCCTGGCCCAGGTTGGCCCGAGAAGCTGTGGCTGCCCCATCCCTGGAGGGGTTCAAGGGCAGGTTGGAGGGGGCTTGGAGCAACCTGGTGTGGTGGGAGGTGTCCCTGCCCCGGGCCGGGGGGGGGAATGAGATGGTCTTTAAGGTCCCTTCCAACCCAAACCATTCTGTGATTCTATGATATGATCCTATAATGGCCTGTGCCGGAGAGTCCTACCACATCTCAGCAGTTAGCTGAGAAGTAGGGCAGAAGATGAAGAAAAATCTAGAGAGTGTGCAGAGGGTCATTTGAATTCAGCCTCTTTACTTCCTGCCTCCAAGCATAAGGCATCTTAGCCAGGAATCAAGCCCTGCATTTTACTCTGGTCCTTTCAGGTCCCTTTGCAACACCAGACCAGCCTCCCCACTCGCTACGCGGCTGTTTGTCCACAGCTGAAACCAGACAACTCTAGCTGTTAATTAATTAGTGCCTGTAAAGCCCCTTGGGATTTGGGGCTGGAAAGTATTAGCAGAGTGCAAAGCACCTCAGTGCACCTCCTCCTTCTCTTCAATACAAAGGATTTCACAATCATTTCCGTAACAGCTACCTCTACTAATGTCACAACGAAGGATTATGTCTCTGCACAAAAGATTTAATGTACTGGAGGTGGCATAAACATCCAGTGCCCTGGAGCAGCTCGGAGCTAACGGCAGTCTGGCTGGATACACATTCCTTCCCCTTTTGGAAGGTTTGGCACCTTAAACTATGTTGTCGCCTAAAATTAGCTGCTCACATTTCGCAGGACCGTCCTCCCAGCGCTCGTAAATAAGACAGGGATAAAGTGCTCCCCACCTCTCTTCTCCTTTTCTCCCACGGCCGAATCCCAAGCCACGTGGGGCATCTGAAGGTGTTATATTCACAGAATCACAGAATTATCTAGGCTGGAAGAGACCCTCGGGATCATCGAGTCCAGCCATCCACCCTACTCTAAAGTTCTCCCCTACACCATATCCCCCAACACCACATCTAAACAGTTCTTAAACACAGCGAGGGATGGGGACTCACCCCCCTCCCGGGGCAGCCTCTTCCAATGCCCGACCACTCTCTCCGTGAAGAATTGTTTCCTAATGTCCAGTCTAAACCTCCCCTGGCGCAACTTGAACCCATTACCCCTTGTCCTGTCATCTGTAACTTGGGAGAAGAGACTGACCCCCATCTCTCTACACCCTCCTTTCAGGGAGTTGTAGAGAGCAAGAAGGTCTCCCCTCAGTCTCCTCTTCCCCAGACTGAACACCCCCAGTTCCCTCAGCCTCTCCTCATAAGACTTACTCCCCAGGCCCCTGACAAGCTTTGTTGCCATTCTCTGGACCCGCTCCAGCACCTCAATGTCTTTTTTGTGGTGGGGGGCCCAAAACTGGACACAGTACTCGAGGTGGGCTATCACCAGTGCCCAGTACAGGGGGATGATCACCTCTCGGGTCCTACTCACCACACTGTTCCTGATCCAGGCCAGGGTGCTGGTGGCCTTCTTGGCCACCTGGGCACACTGCTGGCTCACGTTCAGCTGACAGTAGACCAACACTTCCAGGTCCTTCTCTGCTAGGCATCTCTCCAGCCATTCTTCCCCCAGCCTGTAGCACTGCCTGGGGTTGTTGTGACCCAAGTGCAGGACCCGACACTTGGCCTTGTTGAACCTCATTCGTGCCGTTTAAAAAGGAGAGTGCGTAACGTACGGCTCGATTCATACATTGCTCCTTGCCCATTGCACCTTGAGCAGTGACCTCCCAAATTCCGCTTTCAGAATTTCTCTTGGCCGGCTGGCGTGACCTCAAATGAACTCTTCAACCAAAACCATAACGCTCCCTCACCTGTCAAGAGTTTTGTGAGGAATACTCAGCACTAAACCCGCATTATGACGGCTGATTAAGCTTTCAACCTACAACAAAAATAAAGAATAATTCGATTACAAAACATCCTTGCCCAGCTGCTCATCGTCATCCACCTGAATGCTTTCATCTTCCCGGAATGGAGGAAGGAAAATGTGCAGAGCTGGAATCCTGCTCATCCTTTGAGCCACCTCAGTCCTGCCCCACCTCAGCAGCTCCCTCTCCTGCCTTGCCCAAGAGCCCAGCATCTGGGTTCAGTCAAGCTTCTCCACCGAGCAACAGAACCAACATCTTGCACCGGTATCTTCACTGCAAAATGGCAGAAGAGGTGTCAAACCCTCCCAACGTGGGTTCCTGGCATCAGAGGAGCCCACTTTGCCTCTCAGAGCCTGGAGCAAGTCTGCTACAAAGGCACCGTTTTACCAGAAGCTGAAAAAAAAGGTAGATGAGCTGCAGGACACAAAGGACAAGTGTCAACTAGACATCCCTGGATTTTGGGAGCTCCCTGCACCCACCATCCAAGATTTTCCTGGGGTGCTGCGACAACCTTTTCTACAAGTCCCTGAAAGGAGGGTGTAACCAGAGGGAAACAGTCTATTCTTCCAAGAAACAAGTGATAGCACAAATGGAAATAGTCTCAAGTTCTGCCAGTGGAGGTTTGGAATGGATATTGGGAGAAATATCTTCCCCAAATGGGTTCTCAAGCCTTGGAAGAGGCTGCCCGGAGCAGTCCTGGAGTCACCATCCCTGGAGGTATCTAAAAGCTGGGCAGATGTGATGCTGAGGGACATGGGCTAGTGGTGGCTTTGGCAGTGTTGGGTTGATGGTTGGACTTGATGATCTGAAAGGTCCCTTCCATTCTATGATTTTAAGATTCTGTAACCCAAACTACCCCTCATGCCAGCAGCTGAACTGTTCACCCCACTGGACATGCCACTTGCCAAGAACCAAGAGAAGAACATGAAGGTTGAGTGACTCAGAACAATCAAAGGGAGGAAACACCCAAGTTCAAACCGATTTGCATCTCTCCTTTTTGCCTGAGCTGCCTCAAGTGAAGGGATGAAGATGTCAGCTCTGCTTAAAATCTCCCCCAAGCAAAGAATAGTGGGTGTTTAATTCACCTTGTTACGTTCTTCTGGGTTCACTCACTCTCTCCAACCACTGGCTTTCCTGAAGTTATAGTAATTATAAAAAGAAGACATGTAGATAATTGCTAAAAATCATGCAAGGCTAAAGAATAAAATTAAGGCAAGCACATACACAGTTTTTTTGGCTCAGTGCGATCTCTCCCTGCAGAAGCCAAAATGAAAGGTGGTACAAGCAGCGTGGCAAGGGGAATGGTGCTCACCCGGTCCTCAAAGCTGTCCCCCATCTCAAAGCTGCTCAGTCATGCACAGGACACAAGAGCTGGTGGCTCTTGGGACTGGTCCTCATGGGAGGTTTTCCATTCTCACAGCTGGCCACTCTTAGCAAAAGTCACCATTGGCAGGCAATCACTCCAAGCTGGCACTCTGAACTTTGTGAGCCTTGCTGAAATGATATCAAACAGAAATTTGGCACAGCAGAGATGGAGAGGTTCAAGGTGATGATCATAGAATCATAGAATGGTTAGAGTTGGAAGGGACCTTAAACATCATCAAGGCTTCACAGCTGGCCACTCTTAGCAAAAGTCACCGCTGGCAGGCAATCACTCCAAGCTGGCACTCAGAACTTTGTGAGCCTCGCTGAAATGATATCAAACAGAAATTTGTCCCAGCAGAGA